GAAGGGGACATGATGAAGAACTTCAGGTCCCCCTCTGCTGATTGGCAGCATCAGAGGGCGGGTGCAATAGCTAGTTTGCTATTGGCTTTTTCAAAGTGAAATAGCCAATAGGAATCTAGCTATGCATTCCTATGGTGGGTTTTTTTTTCCTGACTTACGGCGGTCCACGATTTAAAAAAAAAAACAAAGCAGAGAAAGGTCCCGACCTTTCCGGGAGAAAGTGTCTCTCTCCCGGCGGCCGAGAGCCACTAGGCGACCCCTGGCAAATCGTCATTCGACCCTCGAGGGGGTCCCGACCCACAGGTTTAGAGCCACTGCCATAGAGTCTATTGGAGCCAAATCGCGCGACATCCGTGGAAATAAGGATCATGTACGAGCGACAAGCTTCAGCAACAAGCTACAGGCGACATTGAGCTGTGAGATGTGAACAGCTCCATTGAAATGCATTGGATAAGCTACATAGAGCAACATCGCGCGGAAATATGCGTGATTTCAAGGCGGAAATCGCGCGATAAACCGCTCAGTGTGAACAGGGCCTGAAACAATTGTCACCGGAAAACAGGTGTCCCGGCTGGAAGATTTTCCCTCACCTCCTGTTCCGGTGACAACTGTAAATTTGTGCATTTCCAATCACTTTCTGTGCTGGATGCAAATCTGGATACAAGAGTCATAAATTCTGCTTCTGTATTGCCTGCACCTAAATGGACATGGCCAGCAAAGAAACCTCATAGACATTCTGACCCCTAACAGCAAAAGTCATTAACTTAAATTTAAATAAACTTCAGAGCAGCTAGTCTACACACGTTTCATGCTAGAATGGCCAGCTTGGAAGAAAATGCATTCTGGAACTTGTAGTTTCTCAGCCACTTTAGCTGCCCATGTCAATTTGGGTGCAGGCAATACACAAGCAGAATTTATGACTCAAGTATCCAGAGTTTCCAATTCAAACAGCAGGCAAATGACAAGGTTCCGCAAATTGGCTTAATTTCTACATCTTTCTAGAGGTTTACAATTTTACTGCATCATATTTCTAAGTTCTGCTACATTTTTTCATTGCTTCCCATTTATTACAAGTCTTTGACACACTTGCCAAACCATCAAATGGTATTCTCCCTAGTCTTGATATACTCTGTATGGAAGATGAGGAAAGCTTGCAGAGCTTCAGCACCCCCTAATGTTCACTGAAGCTTACTGCAGTTTAACTTCTCAGTACCCCCACCCTGCCTCATAGATTCCGCTTAGGTGTTACTTTAATTACTCCAGATACCAATTAAGAATCTGCAGGGTTGAACTTTGAGAGCCAAAATATGACAAGAATAATGACCTTGTTGTAGAAGTTATAAATTTTTCGTCAAGGGGAAAAAGTTTGAGTTTCCGCTCTGGGAATCTAAGCCTTCTGAGAAATCACACACTTTTACAGTGATGTATTTTGCTGCAGTAAGTTCTATCAATATTGAAAATGAGTTGTATATTAGAGATTTTATGTGTCATATATTTTCTGCCCACATAGGTCCTGGATGGCTTTAACTCACATCCCAGAATCTTGTGCAGGACTATCCTGTCTAGTAGTTTAGTCCTAATGCTCACCAGCATCATTATTTCTCTATAGATTAAGGGCCAAATGGCATATTTGTATCTACAAATCAAGTTGAGTGCCCCATCTAAATACATTTTCATGTTAAATTAGAACTCCGGGCAAAGATTTTATTAACCCTGCAGTGGGCCTACCCCCGCACTGCAAGGGTTAACTGCCAATATGTTTCTAGGGCTGAAAATAAAAAAAAGTTATACTCACACTTTTCAGCCCTAGACATAAACGAGCAGTTAACCCAAGCTGTGTGTGCGTGTGTGTGTGGGGCG